ACTTAATCTACTGGAAACCCCCGTATGTATGAATTACAATGAAGGATAGATAGAGGATACGTACGTCGTCTTCATGGCCTCGAAGCTGACAGCGTAATCGGTACTCAGAGAAGTCGATATCCATAGCGATATAAAAAAAACGAAGGTTTTAGAGAGCGAAAATGTAAAGAGAGTGGGGAAATGTATATAAGGTTTTGTGAAAGAGGAAGCAATTGGATTCAATTATCGTCTCCGGTGAATCGGCGTCTATGGCATCGCTTGTGCTCCAAGAAGGTTTCTTGAACGATATAAAACCTCTTTCATTTGGACTCTGCTGACTGGAAAAAGAAAAACTCATTACGTTATTACTTGTACATTAAACAATGGAAGTTGTACGTTGTTATGACTTTATCAACTTTAACTCTGGAAACAAGAAATAAAAACTAGAATTACAAAAATAGTCCCCCAATTAACAAAGAATTCGAAATTATAGCATTTAACAAAATTAAATTGTTCGTCATTTTCTTTTTATGAAAATAAATATCAATACTGTAAGTCTTGATCAGTTGCCTATTAGCTTTAATGATTGGTCTTTTATTGCTCGGTGGTGGGATTGTGACCTACCTTCCACCTGAATATAAGTTTGGTTTTTTTAACATGTAAATTTATCATATATTAAAGCTATATTAAATTGATTTTCTTAACATGTAAATTTATCATATACTAACTGGAAAACTAATTTTTTAACTTATAAATTAGATTATATCAAATAATTTTCTAAAAAACTAGCTATAAGTTATAATAAACTCAAAAAATAAGCTAGCTTATATGCATCAAACTGAAACTAATGTACAAAAAAATTGCTTTGAAATAGTGATCTTATCAACGTGTTGGATTTTTACGGAAGCATAAGAACACTAAATTATTTATATAAGTCCAACCAATGAAGGCTAAATCATTTATTGTTTCTTTTTTGGATAATTAATAGAAACAAAATATAAAATTAAGTGAGTTGGTAAGTTTGAAAATCCAACATTTGTTATTTTTATCTTGTAATAGGTTTTTTTCTCCAAACATCTTGCTAGTTAATAAAATTTGTGCCGGTCAAAACAAATGTTATTTTAAAATATATATATTTTTTAAACATGCACTATGGGTTAGATTATTGTGTGGACAAATAGACCAATGAAAATTTAGAAAATATAAATTTGGACCAATTGTTTAACTAAAATCTCCGTAATTATATTGTAATTAGTTAATTAATCGGTTTCTAAAAATAACTGTTATAAGGGTATTTTTCAGTTTTTTATGAGAAACCTATAAAAACAAAAATCATATTTGTAGGGATTCTTGCGAAAATAAAATGATGTATTTTTTTTTTTGAAATAATTTGAATGTATTCTAAAAGAGTACATTATAAACGAATATGTTTATGCTTGAAAAATAACAATATTCGTAAAAAGGTATTCCGACCGACATATTTTTATTCGATGAACTTCTTAACCATACAACAAATTATTGAACCATTTATTAAAAAATAGCAACAGATTACTAATTTATTATTAACACTATCCAAGAATCAAGGTCCAAAAATAAACAAAAAAACACATTATAATCATATTCTAATACAATGTTTTAGAGTTACTAATTCTTATAATCTCAATTTTATAAGAATTCAATAACATTCTTGAAAATCTCCATTCGACGACTATTGATGCCTCCCGTGAAGCAGCCGATAGCCGCAAGGAAGAAGGAGGGTGGCAGGGTGGTGGAGTCGTCTGATTTTGGCACTAGTGATGGATTAATGTGATGCCTCCCGTGAAGCAAGCCGAGTCCTTGATTTTTTTTTTCTTTGTAGGTAAAAAAGAACTATCCTTTGATAAAAGAGAGATTAGGTCAATATATTTATTTTGTTTCCTTAGATGTAGGGATTTAATTAAATAATTTCATTGATTGAAAATGCAAAAACCCAAAAATACCTTATTCAATTAATAAATTATTTAATTTTTGCTAATTGTAATTGGTCAATTCATCCACACAATAGTTGTATAGAACATTTGAACATATCTCTATAAAATATTCCATAAACATGAAGATAATTTGTTAATTATTTTTTTGAAAATGCTTAATGATCGGAGAGTGTTGATAATAGTAAAATTTTGTTAAATAAAATTGGTTAAATATGACACGACAAAAAAAAAAAAAAATCATGAAATACCAATCACTATGAATGATCTAACCACATATTATATGTTTTACTGCTTTATAAAGGATGTTGATATATCTACCAGGTCACTCATATAAATTGTCAGATACTATTCTACTCACAAAAGAATATACAAAGCAATTTTTTATTATTATTGGGGGGGGGGGGGGGGGGACTCATATGATTTCCCTTTATAAATTATAGCAATTTACTATACACTACAGTTTTTAAGAGAATATTTATTATAAAGGCTGTTGTAATTTTCTTTTACCTATTTATACTATTATATTTTCAGGGTTTTTTTAGTAAGAGATTATGTTAGTTTCAAGTTTGATGAAAATTATGAAAGGTCATGGCACATGTCTTATATAGGGCAAAGACTTTTTCTAAGACTAATTGAGATGATAAAGATGAAAAAGACACTCAAGTCTTTTGAACAGACAAGATACCGAGAGAGCCAGTCTATCTCCCACCCTGTTAGGAAACAACTATATAGACAGACAAAAGAGCTATTAAAAAACCATGCTAAAGATTAAGTTGCAATAATTCTACAACTAGAAGGAGGATAACTCTAATAAGAAGTTTTAAAATATAGACAGTGTTTTATTAAGCCTAAGATGCTGCAGAAACAGATACGTATTCATCATCATCATTATCATCATCATCATCATCATGGTTGTCATCAGTCGAATCAGAGGTTTCCACCTGTTGACGTGGACCCACAATTGCTCTTCTCTCTTGTGTTGCAACGGGTTGACTGCTACCATTGATCAACTGCTTCACTGATTAAAAACTCTACTATAAGTATAATACAATTTTAATTAAAAATGACAAGTTCAATTTCTGAAAAGTAACAAGAAAATATACTTTTACATTAATCTTATTTGGGTATTTGATGAGTTTTTATCATGTTCATATACCTGACATCAGAAACTTCATCATAATTGTCTTCATAAACTGAAATTCACCTTGGTGAGCACTGACGAATTTACCCTGAAATTCTTCCCTTGTTAACTTTTTACTAGACATTTATCAGATTATTAACTTTAATGTCTTTTAAACAACTACAATATAAAGTATAAACAGTTGATTATGCAACAAAAAAAACAAGTGTGAAGAGGTTTACAGCTTCATTGTAGAACAACCCCACAATTTGATCAAGCTTAGCTTGATGCCTTAATAATAAAGGACGCAAATGATTCATATATAATTGCTTAGCCCCCTGTAGAATTGTAAAGTAATCAGCATCAAAACTAAAAGAGTCATAATGGAATTAGAATCAGAGATTGGGATTATTAAATTTACAATAATCATAAAAAGGTTGCTTACATTGGTGGTGGGAAGCTGAAGCCATGCAAGAAATGCAAGCTTCATGTGATAGTAAAGTGGAAACCTGAAAAAGTAAACAAGGAGTTCATTGGTGGAAACTTGAGAATGCTAATTGTTCTACCAAAAGAAAAAAAAAGTTTTCTGTTTGAAGATAATAAATACCAGGATATGAATCTGTCTGCAAATATCTCTCCAACACTAAAAGACCCATAAACTGCAAAATTTATATATATACATGTAAATAGAAACAGTTCATCAAATTAAAATTAATGTGTATGAATATAGCATTCACTAATTACCTGCCCAATATAAAAGCCACTTGTGTTGCTCATTTGGATCTTTCGCCTCTATTGCTTTGAATGTGGAGTAAACTGGTAACGCAACCCCCACTGTGCAGCTGCACAAACAATAAGCATACATTAATTTTATCATTCAGATATTAATTAAACAAATAGATTAGTTTATAATCAATGAATGATCATTTCAAAGCTTATTGATTACCATGCTGTTCGGATTACAATATTGGAATTAAGGGGGACAAGAAGCAATCTCAAACCAGCCTGCATTAGTAACACAAATCCTAATTCAGTTCAGATCAAAGGTGAAGAACAGATAAGTTTCATAACAAAAAGCACTTGAAAGTGCATTATAGTGTAAATTCGATTTTGGAGCTCAAATTAGAGTTAAAAAAGTTAATTGATTAGTCAGATTATGTAAAACCATTTTTCCGATGAACTGATAAAGAAGATCCTGATACAATAAAATTTAAAAAAAAAAAAAAAAAAATCTACACAAATCATTTACCCTTTCATCTCCGAAGATAACACTCGACAAATTCAACAAAAATCATCGGCTAAACGAACCTGTTAGTGTAACTAATTGTAAAATTGGTTCCAAAGAGATACTTAACCACACAGGAAACCTTCTCAACTCTCAAGCCACTTAACTATTCAATATCTATATTTCCAGTATACGAAAAACAGATAACAGAACGTAATAAAATCAAGCTCGATCATTGAGAAAATGCTTGAATTTACTATAACAAGTCAACAACAAAAGAAAAACCCTAACAAATTAGAGATGGAGTTTGATTACCTCAGTCGGGATATTTGATCCGAGGAACGCCATTAGATCAGGAGAGAGGTTCTGTGATTGAATTGAGTTGACTATACAATGATGATAATGATCGAATGATTCTGTTACGTAACAGAAAACAAATACGATGAACAAATTAAGCGAAGAGTCCGCTCGGCTTTGAAGAACATATTTACATCCCGGTCCATAAGTTTTATCAGTTTGACATGGAGGTCCCTTGTAGCTTGTATTATTAATTTACCGGTGAAATACAAATAATATGTTACGGATGAATCTCCCTAACTAATAAACAAAACCGGTTTGCCACGTGTCATAACAAAAAATCGTTTTCCTCCCAATGTAAAATCTCAATTATAGCCATGCTTGGTATCACGTATCATTAGAATCAGAAGTTAAATTAAATTAAATATGGAATTTGACAATCTGAATATGGCAATATGACAATTTCAATGTGCAATTCCGATTATGGATGGAAATCGAATGGACTATTGAATCAATTTTCGTTATATGCCCGATTAAATGCATCTTTTTATGGTATTAAGATCAATCGTATCAATTTTCATTATTATATCGATTTGATCTTATTATGTTCAATATATAATTGAAACATAGGAATAACAATCATTCTTTACTGCATCGTGTTCCAGCAATCAAGTCTCATTCTTCAATCGGCAACTTCAATAATTCTGTAAGTTTCTTACTCTTAATTCTGGTTCTCATTGTGTATATATAAGCCCATGATTCTCGATGGCTGTGTTAATTGCAAAAATACGATCATAACAACGATAAAAACTTACGTTATGTTCATCTATCGGTCCCTTTTCTCAATATTGAAGGTACGCCTGCGATTGGTAAACAGTTTACGCTCTGTTTTTTGTTTTTTCTGAACTTGATATGCTTGAATCAATTTTCGTTATATGCTCGGTTAAGGACATTAAGGACAGTAATCTGAATATGGCAGCAGGCATTAAGGACAGTAATCTGAATATGGCAATATGACAATATGAATGTGGAATTCCGATTATGGATGGTCGGTTTCATATGCTTGAATATCTGTTTTTTGTCAAATCCCTATTTGAATTTGATTATTAGGTCGGTTTGATCTTATTATGTTCCTGCTATCTCACTTGGTTTATCAAACTTAAAGATTTGGTATGTCAGTCTATATTTATCTCAACAGTTTTATTAACAATATATATGCAATAAAATTCGAAAAAAAATACATATAAAGGCATTACCTGTTGCAGGGGTATATAGTTTTTGTTAGCATGTTTATTTCAGATTTTGATTTCTTTGTATGAATGTTTGTTGTGACTGCTTACCTCTTGCAATAAGTAAGAATTTATAAGTAAGTTCAATGGACGAAAATGCCCTCTCTAATTAGCTATTTGTTATTAATTTATTAAGATTAAGATTAAGAATTTATGTTCCTACTATCTAAATCAGTTTCTCAAATTTAAAGATTTGTTATGCGACTGTATATTAATCTCAACACTTTTATTAACAATATATATGCAATAAAATTTGAAAAAAATACATATAAAGGCATTGTACTTTTATTTTTCATGTTATAAGTAAGTCCAATGGATGAAAATGCCCTCGCCAATTATATAGGGGTATATATTTTCAGTTTTCTTTGTTTTACTTTTATTTAGCATGTTTCTAAAAGAAACTGTTTTCTTTGTAAGAATGTATATTGGTGGTTTTACCCCTTCTTTGTTTCAATTCTTTGTTTTAGTTTTAATTACCGGTTTTACCCCTACTTTGTTTCACTTATCATTATTATTTTTAATTATGAATGTTGTATAGGGGTATATAGTTTCTGTTAGCATGTTTCTTTCAGATTTTGTTTTCTTTGTATGAATGCTTGAATATAACCATATTGTATTATTCAGTTTGTTCTTATATTATTAGTACTCCATGCACATAATTGTAATTTTTGTGTACTTTTCTGTTATAGTGACAATGGCAGAAAGAAAGATCACTTTCATTAGAGACTTGGACAATATGAAGGATGATTACACACTAAAAGTGTTTATCATCCGGCTGTGGAGATCGATTTCAGATGGCAACCCCACTATTGTCAGATCGATGATACTCATGGATGAAATGGTAAAATCTACTATTCCAATAGCATTATTCAAAACCATTTTTTTCTTTATTTGATCATTCCAATAATATTATTCAAACTCAATCATGGTCGAATAACATCTTCAATGTTGACCAATTTATATTTATTAAAATTTCCCTTTTTAACATTATATAATATTCTTACCCTATGTCAATAGTGTACAAAAATCCGAGCAAGTATGTATCCAAGAGATTTTCAAAGGTTTGAGTCCAAACTGAAAGAAGATCAAGTTGTTTACATCCGGTCCCCCACTATCGCTCCTAACAAATACACTTTTAAACTAAGTGATGTAACCTCCAAGTTAAATTTGCATGGAAGAACAACTGTTAACGAGTGTCTACACTTTCAATCCAACACAACATATGGCTTTTATTTTGTTTCTTTTGAAACAATTATCTCTGCAACAGCTACCTCTAATAAATCAATTGGTAATTTCCCTCCTTATTGATTGTATATTATCTTTAATTCTTTAATTTTACATCATTTTGACATTTTGTATTATCATTTTGTAGATATTATTGGTGAAGTTGTTTCATTGGGAAAGCTTGATTCCCGTGATGTCAGCAAATCTCTACATAGGCTGCCTTTACAAATCAGAAACTTAGAGTAACCAAAACTTTTTTTATATTATATCTTATATCTTATATATTACATTCATTACTTTACAACTTTCATGTAGAATTTTAGTATTATATATTCATTTAACCATTATAATTTTTGCAGAGGTTTGCAGGTTAACGTTACATTGTTTGGAGATATTGCATACCAGTTAATTTCTTATCTTGAAGCTCATAAACAAGTTGGTCGTGTGATTGTCCTTTTGCAATTTGCAAGAATTAATGTCTATAACGATAAATTTTTTTATACAAATCAACCTTATTTTAGTCTTTTATACTACTCATTCTATTGACTATTTTATTTTGTTTCATCAGCAACACCTTCTGTTAACAGTTATTATGAACAAACACGGATGTTCATAAATGCTAATCTTCCCGAAATTGTTACCTTCACAGATAGGTAACAAAACATTTTAATAATTCATCGTTTTTTTGTTTCTGTTTAATAATTTTATAATTTTATGTTTAAACTCCTAAATTAAAAACAGCTTGGTTGGATTACGAGGACTTCAAAACCCTTCTTCTTCTTTGACTGTTGAAAGCTCTAAATCATATTCGGAATCTGATGACTTTTTGAATAATTACAAAGTTAAAAATGTTGTCGATTTGATAGAACCACAAGAGGTATGTGAATATTTTATCTGTATTGATGTGATATTGTTTTCTATTTAACAAATAATATAATTGTATTGTTTTTTATGATCCTTTTGATATTTTTTTTTGGTCGGCCAATATATCATTGTCGGGACCATTTATGGTATTCGTCAAGATATTGATTGGTATTATGGTGCGTGTACAAACTGTGGAAAGAAAGTTGAAACAGAAGATGTGTTCAACGGTCCAGATAGTGGTGATGCAAGTGTGGTTTTAAAATGCAATGGTGATAATTGTAAAAATAAGAAGATCTCTTCTGTTCCAAGGTTTTTTTTACATTTAAGAAAATATCAAATGAACAACTTAACTACATTATTAACCATTAAACATATTTAATGTTTATTTATGTGGGAATTTTTTATAGGTATAAAATACATATTCGTGTGCAAGATGATTCTGGAACAATCACTCTAACTCTCTTTGATAGAGATGCTTATAGACTCGTCAAAAAACACGCACGTGATCTTATAGAGAAAATCAAACAGGTATAACATAATTATAATTTTTGTTTTCTTAATTGTTGTTATTTGTTGTATTTTCTTTATATTAATGTGCTTTTAAACATAAATATATTATATAACACATTTATTCCAGGTTGGGGATAATCCAAGATTGTATCCTTATGACCTCAAATGTCTAGAGCATAAAAAGATGGCTTTTAAGGTAGATGTTAATAGTTTTAACGTATCCAATAACTACAATCGGTTTGGGATACTTGGATATACGGTTGATAGTAACGTTATCGATGCTTTGGAAAAAAAGTTAGTTGTCGAGGTATTTATATATTATTTTTATTTCTTTTTTTAATATTACTTTTTATGATCCATATTTTTCTTTAATGATCTTCACTAATAAATTGTAAATCTATATTGATTGAGAGCTATGTCCCACAAATTATATAAATATTTATTTTTCTGAATCGGGCAGGTAGTCTTGCAAATGCTGATGATACAAAAACCGCATCTCATGAAGTATCTCACGAAACAAAGTCCTTAAAGGTTATATTATAAATCTACATTATTTAATTTTATATAATCTATTTTAAAAATTACTTTTTGTTAATATCTCGCTCTCCCTATCTAATAAACAAAACCTTTTGTACAGGTGTCCTTTCAAAAATTCAGATTTCAACCCATGTTAAATTCCAGTTTTACCCCTTCTTGATTTCACGTAGCATTAGATATGGAATATCAATATCAATATGGAAATATATGGAAATATGGAAATTTTGAATTTTGAAAATGGAATATATGGATGAATATCGAATGTAATATGGAATCCATATAAGGCTCTGTCTTTCTTTCAATTTTTACATCTCATAACAATTGTACTTCTCCTCCGGCGCCACCTTCCTACTATGCCACTCTCCTCCAACGCCTATCTGATTTCCGTATGGATCTTCATTTCTTGATGACATCTCCAAACGGTAGTTTTTTTCCCCCTTTGTGAATCCGTTGTTCTCCTTGAAATTGAAATCGCGTATCTCTAAATATGAAATTGATATCTACAGCCAAATCACAGCCATCACTTAATCCAATGGTGAATTAACTACAAAGCATCCCTTCTTCCGACGACGACTCTGGTTATATGTTTGAAATATTTACTTCTATATGTCCATTAATGCCATAATTGCAACTGTTACTTAATCCAACGTTTTGATATATCAATATTAATTCCAATTAAATGGTTGTTTTTATGAGTGTAGGAAAAGTCACATAAGTGGAGATAATGTTAATTCAATGGCATGGGATCAGGTTTTGAAGGCTCACTATATGCGATTCATGTATTATGCTTCTAGGGCAAAATGGTCTTTTGGGTGTTGCTTTTTCTAATGCTTCTGGTTTGCAGTTTGTAGTTGATCAAATGAGTATATTAGGATTTATGAGTGCCAAATAGAGTTTGCTGTAGTCAAACACATGTAATAGTTGAATCCAGATGCATAATTTTGACAGCCCAACATTTATATACGAGGCTATTATTCTAATCTTTTCGATAAGATAAACTCTTTCTTTATAAATTATGGAATCTTACTCTTATGGCATCCTACATCGATATGTGCCTCTCTCTCTCTCTCTTTCTATTGATCCACTGTAAACAAATCTGGCCAGATTTATAAAGAGGATACTCTTAACTTACAATACTTGTGTTAGGAATGTTTGTTGTAAGTTATCTACTCTTACCTCTCCATCTTTCATTTCATTTTCTATAGATTTATCTAAATATTTGTGTTTTTATTTCTATTTTTGATATGTTTTAGAAGATCCCCTATTATGGAGGTGGATTGTTTTTAAGTTTGTTTATTCTGATGGACCTTCTGCAAAGGATGTGTCTTTTTTGTTTACAAATCTTTCCTTTTGTGAACTTATTTGTGGGGTTTTGATGAATTTGCAGTAAATTGATAGGAATTTTGTTACATGAGATGCAGATGATGAAGGCCTGATTTGGATTGAAGTTATTTTTGTTTGTTTTTGAACAATTTAGTTCTTTTGTTTTATGCTGGTACAAACTGAGTATTTGTTTTAAAGATGAAATGAAATAGGTAGCTATTTTTATATATTTATGATTCTTTGGATTTATTTTGAACGGTTTTTTGGATTTATTTTGAACGATTTAAATTTTTCCCTGTGTAGCACACAGATTTTATAATAAATAGTTGTGCTAAAACAAAAACATAGTTTTTATTTCTAAACCCAAAACTCTAATTACACATTCCAGAACTATTCTTCAAAATAAAAACATGCTTAAACTTAAATGATATATATTATAGGATCAAATGGCATAATAATGAAAATGAAATACAATTTAGCTTTTTTACCTATGAATTTCTATAACATCGTTTACTTTTAAATAATAAAATAAAATATTTACTTAAAAAAGATCAACTAGGTGTGACTTGTGAGTTGTAAGATACTATTTGTTATTTTTATATTTTTTTTTATTTTTGTGTAATCTTATTTTTGTACTTTTTAACTAATTTTCATATTAACTATCTAAAAAAAACTATTAAGTTAATAATTATTATTTTTCTATAAGTACTTATATAAAATTTTATTTTATTTGAGAAATAGTATAATATACGAATTTTAAATTTTCATCTAAAACAAAAATTTATGACATGGTTTACACATAATCCAAACATAAAAATAATAGAGTTGTCATATAAGTATAGCATTCTACTTTTCTTTTTCGTATTATAAGTATATTTGCTCTATGAAAAAGATGTATCAAATATGAATAAATTCAATAAAATGGAATATTTTATGGGTATGAAATCAGTGCACGCATTCTTGGGATATGTCTGTTTGAGGTAATGTATGAAACGAAAATTATAATGAAGCTGTGAGACGAGATATGTCTGTTTATTTAATGTGTAACAGTAGTAAACAATGCATCAGATGTCAATTGTGCCCTTTGTCAATCCTTTTGTTCAGCTTTACAATTTCCATTCTTTAAATTCCAGTAAAAGTGTTTATTGATTATATCCTTTGTTGAGCTGAATAACAGTTTTTACTTTAGATTCACAACTTATGGATCCGGATCATTGATATGGATCCGGATCATTCACTACTTAATCATATCTTCCCGTTTCTTAAGTACTACAAAGTACAAAACAAAAAAGGACAAAAAAATTATATATGAAAAGGACGAAAATGCCCTCGCCATCTGATTCAATGTGATGTAATAAATCCAGCCTAAAAGAATAAAAATGTTTTTACAGTTAAATAACATACCAATAAGATGTAATGCCATGAATCTCTGCAATCTCTTAGGCTTTTTGATACAGTTGTACATGTTTAAAACACATACCACTATTTCAGGTATTATGAGTCGAAATTACTTAAAATAAATCAGTATTCTGCAAATAATCAGTATTCTACAAATGTAAAATTCCGTTTTTACCCTTTATTTGTTTCATGCTAAAATCGAAATGGAATATGGAAATTTGTAATTGAATATTGAATCCAATATGTAATTCATATAACGCCCTGTTTTGTTTCAGGTTTTATCTTTGCTACCAGTTGTACACATTAACTAAAATTAATTACATACCCGATTAAGAGCATCTTATTATTTGCGTTTCTTATTTGTTACGATGTTAATGTCTAACAGTTTGGATAGACCAGAGTTTGTTTGGGAAAATACATGGCAATACTTGTCGGATGGTATTCTTTACAACCAACAGCATAGATTAAAGTCTCCAGGCATTATAATTTTCTATCATTATTTTTAAAAACGGATATTATATATTTCAATTTGCACGGTATAAATTTTTTTATTACCATTAAACTGTTTAATATTATATTCTTTTTGACATATTGTTCATTTTTTACAGATTTATCACTCAATGAGGATTAACTCATAAACCTGACTTTGTTTGAGATCAAACAGATTTTACTTCGTAACAACATCAGTTTTAAAACTAATAAACAAATGCCTTACCCTGATTCTGATACAGTTTCTTCTTCAGCAAATCGCCTCATCATGGAGGAGCTAGAGTATGACATACCGCTTTTAAAGAAAGAGTTTGATAGTATGTTTCATGCATTAACAAACGAGCAACGCAATATTTTTATTGATATCATGACTACAATCAATGATAATAAAGGAGGTGTGTTTTTTGTGTATGGAAATGGTGGAACAGGCAAAACCTTTCTTTGGAAGACATTATCTGCAGCAATTAGTTGTAATGGTGATATAGTTTTAAATGTTGCTTCAAGTGGTATTGCATCGTTATTATTGTCTGGAGGTAACACACTCTCGGTTTATAATTCTGTTGAATCTTACGGAGTATTTTGTTTGTAAGATACCGCCTTATAGTGAACTCGACAGATTAGTAAGAAAAAGCTCACTGATTATCTGGCATGAAGCACCTATGGTCCACAAGCATGCATTTGAAGCTTTAGATCGAGCTCTGAAATATGTGTGTAAGTTTGATAAGTCTACCAACTCAAATATTCCATTTAGAGGGAAAGCGATTGTTTTTGGAGGAGACTTCAGACAGATTCTACCTGTTGTTCAAGGAGGTAGTAGATAAAATATCGTTAATGCTTCTTTAAGTTCTTCATATATATGGCAACAATGCAAAGTCCATAGATTAACAAAAAACATGAGACTAACCATTGGAAGGGATCCATCTGATATTCGAAAAATACATCATTTTGCAAACTGGCTTTTGGATATAGGAGAAGGAAAAGTTGGTGGTTGGAATGATAGTGAACGATTATTGATGTTCCAGATAATATTCTCATTAATGATCCACATGATCCTATAGGTTCATTAATTGAGTTTGTATATCCTTCAATCTTGGAAAAATTCAACGTTACGAGTTATTTTCAAGAAAGAGCTATACTAGCTCCAAAAAATGAAGTTGTACAACAAATCAATGATCGTTTGTTAGCATTGTTTCCCGGAGACGAAGTAGAAGATTTAAGTTCAGATACTCTTTGCCAATCAGAGTTTGTTCATGATCAGTTTGATCCCAATTTATACTCCCCAAATATTTTAGATGGTTTTCAAGTATGAGGTTTGCCAAATCACAAGTTAATTCTTAAAGTCGGTGTTACAGTTATGTTACTATGAAACATTGATCAGAAAAATAGATTATGTAACGGCACTAGACTACAAGTGAAATCTCTGGGCAAACATGTTATTGAAGCAATTATCATATCTAAAACTAATATTGGAAAGCAAACATTTATTCCAAGAATGTCTTTAAGTCCACCTGAAAAAAAAAATCATTCAAATTTCAAAGAAGACAATTTCCATTGGTTGTATGTTTTGCAATGACAATTAATAAAAGTCAGGGGCAATCATTATCAAAGGTTCGTTTGTATCTCAAGGATCCGATTTTTTCACATTGACAGTTGTATGTTGCTTTATTTAGAGTTCAAAGTAGAGAATGATTGAAATTGTTAATTTTAGATAAAGATGGTAGACTTACAAACAAAACTTCAAATGTTGTGTATAAGGAAGTTTTTAGGAATTTATAAATGTTTCGTACCCATTAACTTCAAACAATTGTGTTTTTTTCTTTTTTTATTACATTATTTTAATTTTAATATTTTATTATTTATAAAGCATTGTAATCCATAATATTGAATTTGTTTTAATATTTGATTTTCAGACTTTAATAGATGCCACATGATGTTTCTTGATTGCTCCCTCAAATCAAAAAATAATGATTTGCCGTCACACTTCATAAAGCATTCACATATTGAAAGATGCATTTTAGTTATCTTCATATTTACCTTTCGATGGATTGATTGCATTTCTCTTTAACATATATTCAAATTTATATACTTTTTTACAAATTTATATTAATATTAATTTTAAATAATCAATACAAATAATGCTAAACAAACTTAACTCTTATTAATAATATAAATTTGTTATTAAACTTTTTACCCGTGGTTTCCACGGATTGTAACCTAGTACAAATTTTATGTTACCGATGGGATAGTTATCTTATAATTCAATCCGACACAATTTTTTTTATAAAAAATCAATTTCTCTCTTCTTCGTCTGTATAATCCAATTCAATTCAATCCAACATACCCATTAGTGATCCAACCAAATTCAATTTCATATTAAAAAATTATATAAATACTGATATAATTTTATAAAGAAAAATTATATATATATTTAAGTATGTTTTATTTAACTTTTTATTATAAATTAATTATAGTTTTTAATAAAACTAGTTTTACTTATAAAAAGTTATTTATCTCCACCAATAATTGGAGGACACCTTGGTTTATTTTAAAAGGAGTCAATTTTTGGTAATCTTGGTTTGTGTGGATAGCCTAGTTCACCCTAAAGTGTTTTTTTTTTTTTTTTTTTTTTTTTACTTTTGATTGGTGAGCTATGCATCTTATGTGTAAGTGTCCTTTTATGTATTTAGTTAGAGAATGAAATCTACTTGGGTTCAGGTGAAAAATGATTTCAATTTAAGGTAAATGTCACTGTAACCCTACCAAGTTTCATCTTTGGTTTAAATGGTCCCTTTTGTTTTGTTTTGTTT